TTAGTCCTTGGCATGTCCATTGAATGGCTTCTGCTGGTTGTCGAGTTTAATTAGCGTTAAATATTTGCAGCGTCTTGAGTTTAATCAAATTAAAAATACCATCTCCTCCCACATCCTGCAAAAATCAATGCCCGCACGCTAGACCGCCAATCAATTAGAGACGTTTAATCAACTTTTGATTAGCCTTCCGACGGATTTCCGCCCGGACCAATCAAAAAGCCAGCTCGATTGTTTGCCAGTGTGTCAACTTAATCATTTTAGCGCATTATCCCCTCACGTACAAATCACCACTACACACATACGTTATCCTTGCCCCCAAGACCAGACATTTGTGCTTGTGTGAGTGTGTGTGTGTGTGTGTGTGTGTGTGTGTCGGAGTGTTGCTTGCATGGAAAACAAACCGTAATCAGTTGAAGAGCCGAGTGCGCTCAAGAATTTCCACTTGCACTTGCCAACGGCCACTTGGCTATAAACTGTGAAGAGCTCTTCCGGCTACCAGCAGTAGCATCCGGATACGGATGCGGCAGCTGCCCCATCGAGTGTCCTTGAAATCGAATACAGCTGCAGCTGCAGCAGCTGCTCCTCAGTGCTCCTCCTGCACGGAGGGAAACTCAAACTGTCTAAGTAGTGGTTAGAAAACTGTGATTAAGAAGTAGGGGATATGTTTTAAATTCGAACTATAATTTAGAATAGGGGATCTTTTTTAAATTCGAGCTTTAATTATATCAATTTAGAAAAGAGTACATTAAGAGATTGCTTATCAATAATCAAAAATACATAGTAACTGTATGAATATTTAAAAGCACTTATCTTCAAAAAGGTTAATCAGCTTTAAATATGTATTTTTCGAAACTAAATTAATAAAGTTGTATATTCTCTGACAAAGAGACATAATTAAATCCCCAGTGTAAAGCGCTTTGTGGGTCGAAAAAGTGTGCATAATTTCGAGAGCCAGTGCATCGACATTTACACTGCTGGTCGAAACCGCTTAAATTAAAATTGGGTTTAAGCTGGACAAGGGCCAAATGCGACATCGATTGGCCGGGAACCTTTGGCCCTCTCATCCGGCGGGCTAACCCATTGGGCCTGATTCGCTCCTGTTGGCATATCTCCGAGTCCTTGGGTCACCGGCTCGGCGTTGTCAAAGTGTCAAAGTGTAATCATGCTTTGTGCGAAAGGCTTAAATTAAATTAATTGACGGCCACTTGAAGTAAATTAAACTGGGCCCGAAAACGCTTTTATTTCAGCCGCTTCTGCTGTTGCTCTTGCTTTTGTTTCTTTTTGTTCTTCCTGTTGCCATCGTCAATGTCCTGCCATTAAAGAGATTACAAAGGGTCAAAGGGTTAGCTGCGATTGCTCATAATTGCGCGACGCCTGCGGCCAACCATCGAATGGCTTTCTCCCCGTTCCGTTCCGTTCTTTTTTTTTTTTTTTTTTTGACTTGTATCCTGGCGAGTCCTTGTTGCAAAGTGTCATTTGCGTTGACTACTGCCGGGGAGAGATACTGTGACAGAGCATTTGGATGGCAAACTAATTAAATTTTGCTGGCTGCGCTCCGGCCTGAGTTGCTGATGATGTTGGTGTTGGTCTTGGTGTGGCGGATATGGGCAGCCAAATTGGCGCCGCAAATTGGTAATTACCCCGGCCGAAGTGCATGTCAAACACGTAAAAAGGCGATGGAGTGCGGCAAAGAAAGCGAACGCTTTCTAGCTGCCAGCAAGCATCTCTGGACAATGTGCAATTAGCCAACGACAACTGAAATTGCTGCACCAACTACAGCGCACTGAAAAAAAGGATAAAATGTTCTTACAGAAAAGTGTAATTAAGACATGAGCCTTCCTTCCAAGGAATAATTGTTGAAGATACTTCTTCTAATTCGAAGTCTTGATATTGTTGGTACTCCCTTCGAATTTCTCTCAGTGTTTATTTCTACAGTTGCATCCACACACCATTGCGGCGTTGACAATCAAGCAAACGATGCCGTCGTCCACGCAAAGCAGCTGACGACGCGTGTCCTTAGTGTCTCCGTTCTACATGTATGTGTGTGTGTGTGGGTGTGTGTGTTTAAGTGTGCTTTAGTGTGTGTGCGGATGGCCTTTGGCCGCCTTGTGGGCGGGGGCGTGGTCAGCTGCAGTTGAGCTGCCTAATTACTTGTAAGTTGGTGAATTTGCGGCATGGCGTTTCGGGGGCCCGGGCAACTAAATTGAATTTGACGTGCCAGCAAGCGGTCAATTGCTAACGAGTAGCACCACCATTCTGAACCACCAACCGAAAAGGGGGGCCATCTCCGCCGGAAAGGTTACTGAGACGGACGAACGGACGGACGGATGGATGACGTCGCGTGTCCGTCGTTTCCTGTTTCCTGTGCCAGCGCAACTTGCTGATTGCCGGGCGTGTAATTATTTTTTAAGCACTTTGTCTGCCCGAGAAATTAGACCTAACTAAGCCAATCTCTTTTATTTCATTTCGGTTTTTTTCCTCCCTTCTGGATATCTCTTTTTTTGGCTCGGTTGCATTTGAATAGCGTAACGGGAGAGAAGAAAGGAGCGAGCTTAGGGATTTGGCTTTTGGGTCACACACGGCGGTCGGGAATCCTTGGCGCGTATATCCTCTTGTTGCTCGGCTTTCATTTTTCGGTTGCTTTGTCCAATTAGCAACTGTTTCGGGGCTACGATTTCATTTCTTTTATTGTGCTCGTTATCCTTTTTATTTTGTTTCACCATCGCCGTTGCTTTCGCTATCGCGGTCTCCGCTCGGTTTCAGCTTGTGCAAATTTGATATCCTTGTTACGGCAAATTGTTGTACAATTATTCTGGCCCCGTTTCTTCCCGGCTGTCTGCCACATTTGCGAACCTCTTTAATTCGACCATCGAGCAAATCGAATCGAAGGATATTTATATGCTCCGGCAAACGTCAGAAGTGTCCCCCTCGCTGTCATTGTCCTGCGCCAATATTGTCGCCCTTTCGATTATTTATGATCTTTACTTTGCAGCGAGTGCTCCCCACGGGCCTGTGGCCAAGTTTTAGTAGTCATCGTCCTCGGCTCGGTAATAAATTTATGCTTTTTTATTTCCTCCTGTCATAATTTTACCCTCAAATACACACGCACGCACACACAAACGAACACACACACACAGACGGAGAGCGGCGAGATGGAGTTTGACGATAGGAAAATACTTGGCAATTTTTCCCTCGCATTCTCGAGTTTCGGCCTTGGGTTGCTTTACTCCTTTCAGGACATCCTTTACCCTTTCCCCAATCCCTTCAGTGTGTCTAGAAATTTTCCAATTGATAAATTATTTTATGGCAAATACACAAATTTTCTCATACGCACCCTCACTCTCGGGCGTTTTGTGTGTGCCAATGGTTGTGGTTTTGGCTGTTGCTTTTGCGGCCTGGTTTTTCGATTTTCATTTGGTGGGCTCTTGGCCAAGATACTCGAGCTGCTATCCTTGCTGCTATGTCCTGCACATAAAAGCGGCCCATCCGTAATACTTTGGGTACGTAATATCCTTGTGTATTTCTGCGTATTTCCTGTCCCAGCATTTTGGCCAAGCGGTCACTCATTGCTCGGCTCGTCATCATCATTTTCATTTTCCCTTCCTGTCCCCTGCCGCCTTTTTGTTTTGTCCCGAACACATAAAATCAATCATCTTTCTGCCCAGCCTTCTTTATCAATATTTTTTGTCTTGCCTTTCATCAAAATTTGTTGCCTCACTCGGTCTATCGGGTTTTTCTCTTTTTTTTTTTTTTTTTTTTTTTTGGTACCTATATCTCGCAAGAGACTTAGGCCGAAGGGAAAACAAATTCGAGTCGATTTATAAAGCATTTAAGTTGCTTTTGCTTTCACTTTGTGCGACTCGGGGTCCTTATAAATATGCTACATTTGTTTTAATAGAATTGTTTATGAGCCCCATATTGGCAGCGCCGGCAGTCGGCCTCATTGTGCTCCATCCTGCGGGTTTCAGCATGCGCAACTGCCAAAACATGTTAAGCTGAGAAATTGTTACCCAAAAAAAAAAAAAAAAAAAACGCCAAATAGAAAGGCAGCGTAATACACACACGAATAGTGGAAAAACCGCGCCAAATCAAAGACAACAAATCCAAAATGCGCACACAATATTTTGCGGGATTATTTCAGTTGGCTTGCTGTCATGGAAAAGCGGAATGGGGGAAAGTGGGTGAAGTGAGGGGGAGGACTAAAGTCCTGTGCACTATCCTGCGGAGACTAAAAGTTCGGGCTACGATCCAAATTTCTGTTAATTTGGCAGCTTGTCCTGCGTTGGCATTTTGTTTTTTTGCCTGCCGGCCTGCCTGCCGTCGCTTATATTTTTTTACGCTCTGCTTGAGTTTTATTCGCTTGTGGAAAAAAGTCAAAGACGACTCGACAATGTACGGATGTTCGTATGTGCACAGACAGAAAAAAATCCAATTTTATTTGCCCAAAACTAGTCATCGAGAAAAACGATATCTCCACACAAGAAAATTTGTGTCAAGTCAATGAGCTGGGGAATTCGAAACTATATGGACTATGTGGAATAAACTGTTTTCCTTTTTTTAAAAACTCTTGACGAAGTCATTGAATAAGATTAAGGGCACTGCATTTTTTATTTAGTATGATAAGGGTTCATCTTTAATTCAGGGAATTCTTAAAGATTTGATTTGGGTAAAAAGTGAATTTTAGAGAATTTTATTATCTTTTTTTAGGCAAACGCTTTGTTTTAAGTGTACTGGGGTATCTCACTTTGGGTCGCCTCTATTCTGTGTGCAGATATGCAAAACGCTGTGCGCACATAAATTTCAGTGCTGGCCACGCTTATTTGCATAGGAATTATGTATTTGGGCACGGCGGCTTAGCTGCATTACACAGGACACCAGCACACAGATACCCATACAGCACACACATACACACACACACGTACACTTAAATACACACACATGGAAGACTCTTTGTGGTCATGCAGAAAACTAACGCATATCGTTTTCCTTGTATTTTGCAGCTATAAATTTACAACGCCCCAGGAAAATGCATTGCAGCAAAACAAGCAATTAAAGCAGTGCAGGCCCGCAACCACGAACCGAACCAACCTGTAGTATCCTGCCGCCTGCTGTGCTAAAAACCTATTTTGAATAATTAAAATTCCGTAAGTGCTGCAGTCGAAGACGTCGACACAAAGGCGAAGTGGCAGTGGAAGTGGAAGTGGTTGCAAAAAAAAAAAACACAGAAAAGAAAACCCCGGTATCCCTTCGCAACACAATCTGCGGCCTGCAAATTCGTGTGCAGCAATGAAATAATTAATTCAATGCACCTGACTAAGCCGGCCAGCAGCAGAAGCAGCACAATTGCTTACGAATTCGAGTGCCCCAGCAACATCGACTGCAACAACTGCAACAACAGCGACTCCGACAAAATGGCCACCGCGGCGAGGACAATTAGCCAGCCAGGACATATCCGCGATCGGCGGCCAAGGAGCCTGCCCCACATCCTGCTCATGGCCATCGCAGTGGTGTCCTTGCACTTTGAGAGTGGTAAGTTGAGCCCAAGATTCTTTTCCCTCTCAAGGTATTCATTATATGCGGAAAGCTCTGTTGGCTTAGCTTTTTTATAGCTAGAAGGGGTAGGAAAGAACGAGTTTATTACCAATATTTTATGCATACAAAAATTACAAAGCACCTTTGTATAAACCTATTGCTGTTTGTAAGGTTTATAATAAAAACTCGAGTTTAAAAACCTCTTTAATGTCCATATTCCGCCAGTGTTCCTTCTATTTTTACCATATTTTATAATAAACCTAGTGAAATAGCTCCGATCCGAGGAAGGTAGGCCCTTGGCAATTGCAAATTCAATCGCGTGCAAGAGGGCCAGGCCAAGTCAATCAGCGAGCTTGGCCGCAAAGCCATTCAATTGACAAAAGCCGCAAATTGCGGGAAGGGCAACGCTCGATGACGGAGCTTTGTCGGCCGGCGAATTAATCTTATGGATGAATATTTCAAAGCGAAACTTGAGCAATTAATTTCGCTAATTGCTTTTCTTCGCCTCGTTTTTGTCTCAGGACCAAGTCGCAGGTCCTTGCATTTAAACGCCCTGCAGTGGGTGCATTTCAAGGACTCAACTTTTGCCTGTGCATAAACTCAATCTGACATTTATGCGAATGTCCACGGAATCAAATAAGAGTAATGACATTGCCAGGAAAAGAAGCTGGCAGCTGAGGGAAGGGAGAAGGGAGCCAGGATGCAAGGACCCAGTGTCTTGGGATCTGGCCGAGTTCCTTCGCCTTCGCCATCGCAGTCGACGGGGATGAGCCGGTGCAATGTCCTTTGGCTACTCAAACATTCCAGTGGCTATTAGTATTCATATCTTGACTGAACTAAACTGAAAGCTTAAATTCCTCTGGCCATTCGCTCCTTCCCTCTCCTTTTGCGGAGGGACTGGTTTTGGGATTCCGCTTTTATCTGCCAACGTTTGCATGAATTTTCATTTCGTGCTAGAATTGTTGAAAAAGATGCAATTAAATTTTAGGGCCAGGGGTGTCGGTAGAAGAGGCAAAAAAAAAAAAAAAGAGGAGGGGAGATGTAGATGTAGATGGACGTGGTCATGGACCTGGAGACGAATGCGGGAATCGGACTACGAGTCAGATATAAAGTGAATATATATATGTATATAGTTCTGCCCGGCGAGAGTGCACAAAAAGCTCAGCACGAATTTTCCAAGTCCCTGACAGTGTCTCAGTGCCGTTTTTCCCCCACTACTTCCCTTTCCCCACGACTTCCCCCCGCAACCGCTTTTCTTGTGCGGTTGCAGCTGCCTTCAGTGGCAAGAACGCATTATTAATTTATTTTTCAACTTGCTAGATGAATAAGCAAAGAGCAAAAATTGCTCCTCGATTGCTGCTTTGGATGCAGCCAAGCAAAATTTCCCAATTTGAACGTCGTCTCGCTCGGTTCGAATCCGTTTCCGAATGCGAATGCGAAAGCGAGTCCTCGAGTCCTCGAATCCTTGAATGCTCGAATCCTTGCCTCGGTTCGCTGGGCAAGGGTCTATTGTCAGGTCATTTTGCATGCAGCTTTGGCAGCTCTCTGGGTTTGAAGTTTGGGTTTGGGGATTCACCAACGAACCAACAGAAGGGCAACGTGTTTCGAGCGGACTTCAATCTGCTGTCCATCACTGTCTTTGATCGTGCCCGGGAAAATAAAACCGAAAAGTGAATAATGAACCGCAAATAACTTTACTTTGTCTAGAGTTCCCGCTCCCGCTCCCGAGAACCGCGAACTCCCTCGATTTCCGGGTGTTTTTTAATTGCTGCAGGACGTTTGTCTGGCGCTTCGGCAACTGCGAGTGTCAGTAACAATTAGTTTTGGCTTGTAGTCGAGCTAACTGGCAGTCCAGCTCCGCTTTCAAATATTTGCATTTGCGGTTGTCAGACGCTCGACTGCATCCCCCATCGTTTCGTTTGCTTCGCTTTTTGGTTCCGCCCTTTTCCGCAATTAATGAAGTGCAAAACGCTCGCCGATTGCTCAGATAGAGTTCGCATTTGCCAACCGCAAATCTCCTTCATCTTCATTAATGTTGGATATATATTGTGACATAAATCACACAATCAAATTATCTACCTTCCCCCCAATCGCCCGGGGGAGAAACAGATTTGGATTCGGCTGTCCGGCTCAACTAATCAATTTGACATAGGTAAGTTTCCGCAGCAAAACTTTAACCCAAAACTTTTGATACTCGCCTTTCGGAAAAGTTCTGTTTTACTCCCCAGTTCGATAACACCGCACACACATATGTATCCCTTTGTGTGGTAAGTGAAATTTATTAACTGCATGGACCACAGCCCAAATGCAAATAAATCAGACACATCAGGCAGTGGAAAAGTTGGTTAAAACAAACGATAATGTGGGCACTGCCGGCGGCAGATGAGGCGGAAAAGTTGCCAATCTTTGTGGGTTGGGTAGAAGCAAAATATAAAAACAAAAAAACCACAAAAAGGATATTGACGTGTGACGAAGGGGATGAGGACGAGGACGAGGACAAGGACGCATCGAGAGGCTCTTGAGGCCTACAAGTTGATGGCATTGCAAGACTGAGTGGGTGGGTTGGTGTTCATCCATCACTCCCCAGCCAGCCCAGCCAGCCCAGCCACCCCTTTCCCATTTCCCGTTTTCCGTTTTGCACCACCTAACCCTCAACTTTTCCCACTTTTCCTCAGTTTAGGTGCGGCGGTGTCAAGTATTTGCACTTGAATTGCGCGCTAAGCAAAATTTACGCGCATTTGTTTGTGCGACTCCAGAGAATTTCCCCGTCGCGTTCGAGGCTCAAGTGAAAATCGATGAGGTGATGCCTACATGTACACCGAAAAATAATCAATCATGCTAAGAAGCTGTTCAATAATCTTTTGACAAAGCGGAGCTTATTAAAAATATTGAAAAAATTGGCAACTTATCAAATCTTTTGATTAATATTGAAAACGAAGTGTATGTTCCTAAAAATGTTTACTTCACCAATAATTAAAGCTTGAATCATAAACGCGTTTAAACACTTCACTAGACTTAAATATTAACTTGTTGAAAAAGGGATTAAGACATTATCGTTAAGAATTGTAGTTGTGTTCCGAGATGACACATGAACAAACATCCTGTTCTCTTTTTTTGTTACTGTGTATGCTTAAGGACGTTGGCATTGTTGCTTGGCCACAATGTTTTCTTTTCCGCCTCCGTTTCGCTTGGCTTTTTATTGGTTTCCTTCGCCTCTTTTTTTCTTGGTTTGTTTGATTTGGCTGTTGTCCTGCTTCTGGTGTCATGAGCAAAGGAGCAGCATTTGTGCAAACAGACTAGACCTGCCATCATGCAGACGACTCACACACACACCCACCAACACACACGGATACGAAGGACGAGACACTCAAAGCTTCATCCCAGGCACATATTGCTTCATCTCACTACGTGAGGCTGCCGGTTCAGCCATCAAAACTGTCGACAACATCACCGTCAACGCCATCATCCCAGCCAGCTCCTCTCCAGATTCAGCTCCATATCCAACTGGTTGAATGCCTGCTCTACATCCTCATCCCCATCCGCATCCTCAGCCCATCTCCATACTCTTTTCCACTATATTCCCTCCAACTCGAGCTCCGTCATTATGGGCTTCGGCTGGCACTTCACAAAAATGCACACAAAATCCTCAACTTTATCTCGTCAATAACTTAAGTGCCAGCCAGGACTCTCCTGTTACTGTGGCCCCTATTCGGTTTATTTTGGCTCTGTTCTACACACAAAGAAATATTTCCCAAACAAGCTTTTGTTCACAAAATTGTGTATAAATTATTAATGAAGTAGGATGTATAGCGATGTAGCAAGCAATTGTTGAAAGGATTGAAATGGCTCTTGAATTCTTGTAACCTTATCATAGAATATCAAATTAACCTGATATATTTTTTACCTCAGTGTAGCATGTTGCCTTCTGTGGCTTCGATTTTCCCATTTCCCTTTTGCCGCAATCGCTTATTGGTAAAAATTTGCTTCAACTCTGTTTGGCACGTACTGCGGTTGCAGTGGCAAAAGGCTTGCAAATGATTATTTTATTGACAATTAAATCATAAACATAAAGCCAAGCCGCTCGAATCCACTGAGCGGATCGTGAGTGAGAGGTTGACATGATGTAAGGAGTGAAATTTTATTGCCATGAATGTCAGGAGTTGACATTAGTCACAAGCCAGTTCCTCTTACCCTCAGCCATTGAAAGCGATTTCGGTTTATTGCAGCATTTAAGGCCAGAGATGGAATCGCACTTAAACACAGAGCTGAAGGCAATGTGCCGCTTATTGCCCATCCAGAGCATGTGTGCCAGGACTCTCGAGGGTCCTGGCCTCAAAGGAGGACTTGTTGTTGCCAGAACAAGAGTTTCTGGCTCTCTCTGTCTGGAGAGTTTTAAGGTCGGCATCCTCATCCGCAACCTCATCCTCGGAGGAGGATAATCATCAACGAGGTGATATCAAAAAGTTTAACAGCAAATGAAGAAATTGTGTTTCGGCCCGATTAACGTGTCTGCAAAGTTGTCTTTGAGCTGTTAACTGGGCTGATTGAATTGCAAGCGACTGGTAATGACAGCAGCGGAAACCACTTTGCGACGCCGTAGCAGTGGACCATATTTAATTTGTGTGCAAATGCTTGGCAAACAAGTTTCTAATAAAATAAAGTGACTCTCTGGCTGGCTGGCTGGCTTGCCACTGGTAGTGCAAGTGCCTGGTGCTACCTTCTTCCGGGCCAGGGACTTCATTAGAATCTCTGGGCCCTTTCACTTCTGCCGGCTTAGTCCGGAAAGCCATTTCATTATGCCACAACGACTGGGCAATTTTAATTTGCAGCACATTGGCATTGGCTTTGTCAGCTCTTGAGCGGAGCACTTCAAGCAAATTGACATGGACTTTTGCTGGAATACCTGGACGCTGGCATTGTTTTTTCTGTTTTCTGTTTTTTCGGGCCGCAAATAAAATATGAAAAAAGCCACAACACAAAAACCTGGTGCTTAGTGC